GTCAATATATACTAGTTTTGTCCCTGAATGGTACTAGAAGCAATGATATCCCAGTGGTATTGAAGATAGCTACCACCCAGATTTCGATGTATAAGAAATATTTCCCAGTAGAAAAAATCTACATAAAGAAAATGGCTGAATACACATCCAGGAAAAGGGAAAGTAAAAGGGGACCCTAAAAGATTCTATGCTAGCAAGTAAGGAAGGGCTTAAAGAATAATGGGGGCATGTCAAAAGGATACAGGAGCCAGCATGAAAGGGATTACACTGGCCAAATCAGGGAAAATTTGAGAATCAAAAGACTAGTGATTATTAACTGGTCATAAAACACTGAAAAAATTTAAATAAATGAACCCATAATGATAAAATAATATGACTTTAAAAAATCTGCTGTTTTTGGAGGACTTATACTATAGTTCATTTCCAGCTAAAGAGAGAAACTCTTTTTTTATAAATGTAAGTCAACTAATAAAATCACAGAAAATCACCATTCTGCAACATCCACTGAAACATTTGATTCAGCAAAGATCACAAGTCAATAACAATAGCTGTAGTCAGGCAAGTGGAGGCCTGAGCATTTCAGGGTTACCTTTGGGGAGGACCCCAGGGTGTAAGGGCACATGATCAGGGTTATATACCCTTAAAAGAAGGTCTGGCAAGGTCACACAGGTTGGCTGGGATCCAGTCAACGTGCTAGTATCCTAGGGACTTAATTCTGAGAAGGAAATAAAAGTAGTCAGCAATGGAATAGATAGCAGAAGCCTAGGCCTACAGACTGGATTAGAGGGGACAGCTGCAGCTCAGTGAACATGAGTTATGCCCAGTGACAGCTCACTCACAAAGTCGAACAACTGTACACACAGCACACTGCTGGTGAGTCTGGAGCTCCTTAGGACTCATAGTGAGTCATGGTTCTCATCAATAGTGGATTCTAGGAAGACCCTGGTCAAGCTCCTCTTTATAGTCCTGAAATTTTATAAATGCTCACTACATATTACTAAGTTTATTTTGGAAAAGTGTAAAAGGATATAGCACTTTCTAGAAAATACCGGCCCTTCCCCAGATTCCTGATTCCTACTGAATTTGACTCTTCAGTTTAACAATATCCTCAAGTGGCTCTTAAGCACCTGGCAGGGCAGACACTTGTAAGGAACTTAGTGGAGATTAGTAGGGTGGGTGCAAGTGGTGTAACTGAGCTAAGGAGGATGGTTCTTGGTACTTCTCAAAATCCTCCATCAAGTGCACACCCCACTCTCCTCTTTCTCTCTCCTTAATCCATATCACCAGCTTGGGAGCAGATGCCTCCTGCTTGTGAGGATGTAAGAGGAGCTTTAGGGGAATGGAACGAGAGAAATGTGTCAAGAGAAAAGAAATTACCCTGATGACAAATAGGGAAAAGGACTAGCAGATAAGGCTGGAAAAGGGACCAAAAATGCTATGGAAGAGATAGAGGATGGATTTCATGCTGTTCCCTTACAACCTTAGTTGCAGTTTCCATTTTACTGGTGGCCTCTTATACACCAAAGTCCTAATTTGAAGGATTGATTCTGACAACCAAAATTTCATGACTTTTAGGAGATGCTCCCACAATGACTTAAGGAAGGTTATATAAATTCTCTATGCCTCAGTCTCTTCATTGGTGAAGTGGAAATTATAATAGTACCTACCTCATATGGCTGTTGTGAAGATTAAATGAGTCAAGCAGTTTTCCCAACATCACAGAGCCAGTAAGTAACACAGCTGTGATTTGAACCCAGCCACGTGCCTCCAGCACCCATCAGTGGTTCTGAACCACTCTGTTATGCTGCCACTCAGCAAAATGCAAAGAGAACTTAGAGTACTGAGAAGCAGTCCCACCTTCAATCATAGCTTTGATGAACAGCCATTTCCAGATCTTTCTCCCTTGTGATAATCCAGAAGCCTTAGAGAAACCTGTGGTTTTTCTGCCTGTTGTGAAAAATCCCATTATTGTGGCTGTCCTATGAACACACTGAGGACTGACTATGCTCAGGAGACAATTAACTATCAGTTAATAGAGTTTTGGGCCTGGGATAAAAAAGCTTTGTTGGTGGCCACATCAGGTGACTTGGAGAAATGTTTACAAAGGTGAGTGATGATTGTATTCACTTGTACCACAGAGAAAGTCTTGGGGTTGAGACTCTTGAATCGTACCTGTTGATGAAAGCTATTGTCAAAGCAACACAAGATGAGGAGAAAAAGAAATTTAAAAATGGGATATAAAGTGAAGACAAGTGTGAGACCAAAATAGCAAGAATTGCAGTGTGTTATGATAAACAAACCCATAAGCTTTAAAATCAAACCACCCTGAATGACAGAGCTGTGTGACCCTGTTAAGTACCTCCATCCTTCCAAGTTTCTATTTCTCCATCTCTAAAATGAGAATAATAACATCATTTCACAAAGATTCTGTGAACGTTTCACAAGATAAGCTATGTAAAGTGTCTGTATAGAGCCCTACAGATGGTAGCCACTCAATAAATGGTAGCTGGTATTGTTTAAGGCATGTCACGTAATATTAGATTTTTAAGGAGATAATAGATGCAGCTCTGCACTCAAACCTCTACACAGAGGTGTAGAGGTTGTCCATAAAGCCAGTGCTTGCTTTTAGTGAAAAATATACTCACTAAGAGTAATATTTACAAATACCCATTTTCTGTGTGTGCTAGCTGCTCCTTATTTACAGAGTAAGTGAAGAGAGAAATAAAATATCCACTTGAAGAACTTCTAGTCAGCTAAGTAAGACAGCACAATTACAAACCTAAGAGAAAAATAATATTTGTGCATAACCAAATACAAAGAAAGCCTTTCAGAAATAGACTTGAGATCAAGGGTGAAAAAATAGCATTAGCTCAAATTCTAAGCTTTACATTAAATACATGCACACCACTGTTCTTTTGTCATTTCAAATAATACTAATGATTAAAACTTATTCTTCCACCTGTTTACATCCTCTGCTATTTCCTTCTTCAGTGTTTCATAGTTCTCCCTGTAGAGGTCTTTTACCTCCTTAGTTAAATATATTTCTAGGTACTTTACTTCTTTGTTGCTATTTTGAAGGGAATTCAGTCTTTGATTTGGTTCTCCCTTTTACTGTTGTTGGAGTATATGATGCCTCTGATTTCTGTGTATTGATTTTGTATCCTGTGACTTTACCAAATTCATTTATCAATTCAAGGAGTCTCTTGGTTGAATCCTTGGGGTTTTCTAGGTATAATATCATGTAATCAGCAAAGAGTGAGAGTTTGATCTCTTCTGCTCCCATTTGGACACCCTTAATTCCACTCTTTTGTCTGATTGCTGTAGCAAGGACTTCTAGCACTATGTTGAATAGAAGTGGAGATAGTGGGCAACCTTGTCTTGTTCCAGTTCTAAGTAGAAATGCTTTCAATTTTTCCCCATTCAGTATGATATTGGCTGTGGATTTATCATATATGGCTTGTATCATTTTTAGGTAAGCCCCATCTATGCCTATTTTGTTGAGCATTCTTATCATAAAAGGGTGTTGAATTTTGTCAAATACTTTTTCTGCATCTATTGAGAGGATCATATGGTCTTTGTTTTTGCTTCTGTTTATATGGTGAAATACATTTATAGATTTGCATATGTTGAACCATCCCTGCATCCCTGGGATGAAGCCCACTTGGTTGTGATGGATTATTTTCTTGACAAGCACCTGGATTTGATTGGCTAGGATTTTGTTGAGAATTTTTGCATCTATAGTCATAAGGGATATTGGTCTGTAGTATTCTTTTTTTGCTTCATCCTTTCCTGGTTTTGGTATCAGGGTTATGTTTGCTTCATAAAATGTGTTGGGGAGGCTTCCATCCTTCTCTATGTTGTGGAATAATTTCTGCAGGATAGGCACCAGTTCTTCTTTGTAAGTGTGGTAAAATTCGAGTGTGAAACCATCTGGTTCAGGGCTTTCCTTTTTAGGAAAGTTTTTTATTGCTGTTTCAATTTCAGTACTTGAAATTGGTCTGTTCAGAAATTCAATTTCTTCCAGGTTGAGCTTGTCTATACTACCCAAAGTGACCTACAGAGTCAATGTAATCCCTATTAAAATACCATCATCATTTTTCACAGATATAGAAAAAATAATTTTACGCTTCATATGGAACCAGAGAAGACCCCATATAGCAAAATCAATCCTAGGCAATAAAAACAAAATAGGAGGTATCAATTTACTAGACTTCAAACTATACTACTAGGCTATAGTCATTAAAACAGCTTGAGATTGGCACAAGAACAGGGATGTTGACCAGTGGAACAGAACAGAGAACTCAGATATAAAACCATCCTCATATAGCCAACTAATCTTCAACAAAGCAGAAAAAAAACATACACTGGGGAAAAGAATCCTTATTCAATAAATAGTGCTGGGAAAACTGGATAGCCACATGTAGAAGACTGAAACAGGACCCACACCTTTTACCTCTTACAAAAATCAGCTCACGCTGGGTAACAGACTTGAACCTTAGGTGTGAAACTATTAGAATTCTAGAGGAAAACATTAGAAATACTCTTCTAGACATTGACCTAGGTAAAGAATTTATGAAGGCAATCACAGCATCAACAAAAATAAATAAATGGGACCTGATCAAATTAAAAAGCTTCTGCACAGCCAAAGAAACTGTCAAGAGAGCAAACAGACAACCCACAGAATGGGAGAAAATTTTCGCAAGCTACACATCCGATAAAGGACTGATAACTAGAATTTATTTAGAACTCAGGAAAATCAGCAAGGAAAAGTCAAACAATCCTATCAGAAAGTGGGCAAAGAACATGAACAGAAATTTTTCAAAAGAAGACAGAGTAATGGCCAACAAACATATGAAAAAATGCTCAACATCTTATGCAAAAAGCCTACACACTTCAGTCAAGCACATCAGTAGAATGATTTGGGAGCATAAATATTTTTTCAGCTACTTGTGATTTCCTATGAATGAAAAGGAATCTGCAGGCTAACAAGCTGATCCTCATCAGCCAAGCTGGTTCATATGCACACTGTTCGTGTGAAGTGCCCAGGGTCCAGTCCACACCATTGAGGGCCATTATTTTCCGTGGAACTTGAAACCATCTTTATCAGTGATTTCCAAGAGGGGTCCCCAGCATGAGGGCCGTTAAATATGGGTCCTCCAGCACCATCAGGGATAGGCACTACTGGAGGAATCATTGCATTCCCATATACAGAAAAAGGCATACCCCCAACTTTAGGAAAGTCCATATAGCCTGCAGGAACATGCTGATGGAATGTACCAGAAGGAGTTACAATTCCTGTACTATCTCGCTCCATTGCTTGATGCTGTGAAAATACTCCTGGATCAGACATTGGTCTGTGAATCATAGGATTTCCTATCCCAGGGTTACACCAGTCTACTTTGTCTTGATTGCCGCCAATCCCTTCAAAGGACCAGATGCCACTATGCCCTACTGATGTAGACAAATTACTCCCAATAACAGATGGAGCTGAAGTTCCAGTTTGCCTGATATGTGCAGAACGTTCAGTCCCAATAGGGACTGGAACTTTCCTGTCCTGAGAGACGCTGCTGGGCTTTTCTTACCCTAAAGGTACTGATGAAGGGGCAGGAGATGGTGCACGAACTCCAGAAGGTACCGACTGTGCAGAAGAATCATTTGATGCTGATGAACATGGAGTCAACAAACTAAGGGGGAAAATGTTGTCTGTTAAAATTAGCAGCTGTCGGTGCTCCTCCAAGGGATGCCCCAGGTCCATACATCTGACCTCCTGAAAGGTTTGAGGCAAAGTTTCCCAAATGTGTAGAAGAAGGTGTTACAGAACCATATGGTGAGTCCATATTGACAATACCTGAGGGACTTGGAGAGGGTCTCTGTAATGGTGGTCTAAAACCCGGAGCTTTAGAAGTATCAGACTGATGTAAAGGATCTGAATTTGGCAAATACAAGGATTTTCCTGATAGCATAGTTTCTGGTGTTGACTGATATGAAACAACAGATCCTCCCCAAAAGGCATGAGCAGAAGTAGGGCTGTTTTCAAACAATGTGTTAAAAGGCCCAAATGGTAAGGGGTCACTGAAATTGGGAGCAACAGGCTTATTTGCTGGATGTACTGAATTCTGACAAGCACTTTGTGTACTTAAGGTTGAAGGTAGCTGAACAGAAGAGGGAATGCTGTGAGGTCTTTTGATGGGATTGACACTGAGAACTAAAACAAATGAATTCTGCACTGGAGCTGGATTCTTGTGAGGGGCAGTTGTGCCATGAGAAGGTGGCCTAATAGGAAGGGTTTCCATCTTATGAGCAGGCTGGGAGCATCCCATTTGTGTCTGGGGCACAGGGTAAGTCACTGGGGCAGAAGGCACCGCCACTGGAGCAGAACTCGTTGTTGCTAAAGGAGGAACAGTCATTCTAACTTCCAAGGGAGGAACCTGAGACTGCTGAAGAGGTGGTCTTGGCTCCTGAGAAACAGATCCCAGAGGTTGTTGCTGAGCAGAATGAACTGATGAGCTCCCAGAAGAACTTTAACATCTCTAATCATCAGGGAAATGCAAATCAAAACTGCAATGAGATATCTCCTATCTCCAATTAGAATGGCCTTTAACAAAAGTCCCCAAACAATAAATGCTGGTGTGGATGCGGAGAGATAGGAACACCCCTACACTGCTGGTGGGTCTGCAAACTAGTTCAACCTCTGTGGAAAGCAATATGGAGGTACCTTAAAGAGATACAAGTAGATCTACCATTTGATCCAGCAATCCCACTACTGGGCATATACGCAAAAGATCAAATGACACTCTACAAAAAAGACACCTGCAATCGAATGTTTATAGCAGCACAATTCACAATTGCAAAGTGGTAGAAACAACCCAAGTGCCCATAAATACATGAGTGGATTAATTAAATGTGTATATGTATACCATGGAGTACTATTCAGGTTTAGGAAACAATGGTGATCTAGCACCTCTTGTATTTCCCTGGATAGAGCTGGAACCCATTCTACTAAGTGAAGTATCTCAAGAATGGAAAAACAAGCACCACATGTACTCACCAGCAAATTGGTATTAACGGATCAACACCTAAGTGGACATATAGGAATAACATTTATTGGGTGTCGGGCAGATGGGAGTGGGGAGGAGAGGATGGGTATATACATACATAATGAGTGCAATGCGCACCATCTGGGGGATGGACACGCTTGAAGCTCTGACTCGAGAGGGGAGGGGGGCATGAGCAATATATGTAACCTTAACATTTGTACCCCCATAATATTCTGAAATAAAAAAAAAACTTAGACTAGGGTCTAGAATGTGGTAAACACTATGTGAGTGCTATATATTTATTAACTTACTTAGTACTATAACAACCATATGAGGGTGATCATTTTATTGTGCCCATTTTACAGATGAAGATACTGAGGCACAGAGAAGTGAAGTAACTTATCCAGCATCACACAGCTAGTAAGAGGTAATGCTGGGATTCAATACCAGTCTGCTCCAGAGTCTTGGTCTTAGCCTGATGCCATAACATGTCAGATATTGAATCAATTTCCATCAACCGATAATTTGCATACATACATAAATGAAGATAAAGGCAAACTAAAGAAAAATTAAGTGTTGAGGGTTTTTTTATTTCCTGTCAAATATAAAGTGATATAACCAACATGGAGACTGTGCTGGTGTGACAGTAGTTCAAAATTGAATCCATTTAATGTGAAGAATGTTTTACTGCTGTTGAGTTTCCTCTCAGTTTCCATACGGCCAAGGATAACTCAAAGCATCTATGGATATGCTATTCTGTACTGCTCCTAAGCCCTGAATAGTAGCTCTCAGGCTCGTCAAGCCAGCTGCAAAGTGTAGCTAATCAATTACAGCAGCCAGAAATAGTATATATTCACAAGTACAGCAGCAGCCTTTAACCCACAGAGCAAGGCCATTTCAGAGGATAGAAAACCAAACCTTGCAGCTGAACCCCCAACTTTCACCCTGACTTTCCATCCTTGGCAGCCCCAGAAAAGTAATTTTCAGCTTAGTCTCTTGCTGATAGTCATCTGCGTCACAAAACTATTATCCACCCTGTGCCTTCCTACTTAACTCAATGTGTTCTGAGCCTGATAACCAAGACGGCTGTGGAGGCACTCAGGACTGAAGTTAATAGAGAGACTCAATTGCATTTCACCCCAGAGGGGGCTGCTTACAGGTAGGTCAGTGCTGAGATAATCAGCCAAGCAGCTTATGCCTCTGCTACCCCAGCTATTGCCGCTGGTGGTTTCATAACCTGGGAAAATTCAAACACACTTATTGACAAATAAAAGCGACAAAGGGTCAGGTGGGGGGTGGTAAACTCACAACTGATGGATGGGGGAAGAGCACACTTGTAGCCCTAGGTTGGGCAAGGCAAAGGCATTATATGTAACCAAAATATTTGTGCCCCCATAATATTCTGAAATTTTTTAAAAAAGTAACTGAAATGCAAGGAAAACTACCTTCTTATCTTTTAAATCAGGACTGGACACAGTAAGTAACATTTCCCTAGGCGTGGTTTTGTTTTTCCTTCCAAATACTCCTCCTAAATATTTTATGTTAGATCTCAGTTTTTGAGACTGAGAAACAATGTTAAGTCAACAAGCCTGAGATAGCCATGGCTTGATCTGCAATTGAAAATGCCAGTGATAATAAGCCCTAATTGGTTGCTTAAGTGGAGAAAGATGTGATTCATGTTTTTATACATTTCTACGGTCTTAATTTATCTCTTGCTAAGCCAAGAAGTATTTTTATAGAACTATTTTGTTCCAAGTGCTGTGGTTTATATACGATATATCTTTATCAAATATATACCAGATATGTCACACACTAAGGATTCAAGTAAATAAGACACAATCCTGCCATCACAGGTTTTGACTGTCAGCTGCATACTTCTACATTGACTTTCAGTCTTACCTAGGATCATAGATTATACACAAAAGGGCTACTGTTCCAGGGGGCAGATCCCTCAAAGGGAAAGAGGAAAGGTGTCAACATGACTTCCTTCTCTTTATCCTCTCTTTGTACAATGGAAAGTGAAATAAAGGGATGAAATGCTTTTCATTCTACCAGGAGGCCTTAAACATAAAAAAAAAAAAAAGTTTGGATATAACCTGATCATTCAATATTTTTAAGAAAAGAGGTGACTTTATTTCTTAGGAAAATATTTTAGATAGTTGAATCTGGAAACCATGCAAAATTGATAGAAATAAATATTAGAAATAAGAAGCCCAGTTTTAAAAAAATCTACTTTGGAAATTAGGGAATGGTAATTAGATGTAGTTGGGAAGACACATCTGCTTCTAGCCAAGATGAAATGATAGGACTATATTGACCCTCTCACCTGAAACAACTAAAATCTCAGACAAAAATATGCTATAAGGTGGTTCAGACATTGGATATCAGATAGTATAAGAAAATAATTCTTATGAAATGAGAGATAAATGATTTAAACCCTATAATTCCTGAAGTGTACTCTAAGACAGAGTTTACAGGTCACGACGCAGGCAAGGGGAACCCAAGAGGAGCTCAACAGTCTTCCTGAGTTAAGAAGATGAAATTGGGAGTCCAAGAAGGGTAACGTTCACAGGGCAGAGTAAGAGAGAGGAGATAGATGCATAAAGACAGAGCTCTAGAGATTTGAAAAGGGTATTCCTTAAGTCTTCAGCTGAGGACTGACCAGCACAATAGGGCAGGGGTCCTCAAACTTTTTAAACAGGGAGCCAGTTCACTGTCCCTCAGACCGTTGGAGGGCCAGATTATAGTTTAAAAAAAACTATGTGGAGGGGAAGGGCATACCTCTAACCCTTCTTACGGGAGAGGCAAAGATATACAATGTAACCAAAATGTCAAAAAAAAAAAAAACAACAAAACACCTTTTATGGAGTGGTGGGCAGGTGGGAGGGGGGAGGAGGGGAAGGGGGTATACTTACATAATGGGTGTGGTGTGCACCAACTGGGGGTTGGACACGCTTGAACCACTGGCACAGAGGGGAGGAGGGGTGGCAGGGGCAATATATGTAACCCCTACAATATTTGTACCCTCATAATGAAATAAAAGGAGGAAAAAAAAACTATGAACAAATTCCTATGCTCACTGCACATATCTTATTTTGAAATAAGAAAATAAACAGGCAAAAAAACCCGCATGTGGCCCGCGGGCCGTAGTTTGAGGACGCCTGCAATAGGGGAAGAAAAAAACTGCCTGGGGCTGAGAAGAGAACCATCCAAAATCCCTTTAGAGCATATAGGGCTGTGTTTCTACCAACCAGAGTGGAAAATCCTTGTAATTCACGGGACAGTGGATCAAGTACTAAGAGTACTCAGAAGGGTACAGCCACAGTAGTGGGGAAAAAATTAGTTCTAGACTAAAGGCTGATCTGGTTCCACCTAATAAAGCTTAAAAACAAGACTTGAAAGGATTGAAATGTTTTCAAGTAATCTAACTACATTCAAGAACAAAGCTCAAGAATATTTACAGGAAGACAAAAATATCCAGCACACAACAAAGTAAAATTCACAATGCCTGGCATCCAATTAGATGTCACCAGGTATGCAAAGCAGCAGGAAAATGAAACTGATAATGAGGAGAAAATCAATTAGTATAAGCAAACTCAAAAATGATATATTAGAATTAGTATATAAAGACATTAAAATAGATATTTTTACTATATTTGATATCTTTAAGAAGGCAGAAAAAGATTGAGCATGTTAGAGACATAGAAGCTATACAAAAGACACATTAAAAGTTTATGGATAAAAACTAAACATCAAAGACTTTAAAAAATGCCCTGGATAGGGTTAACAGCCAAATAGGCACTAGGGAAGAAAACATTAGACTCCAAACTATTGCAATAGGAGTTATAAAAAATAAAATATCCAGAGAAAAAAGACTGAAAAATGATCATGGAGAGGAGCTTCAAGCTAACTGACTAGAGACATCTCATACTCACCTCTTCCACACAGAATAACCTAAACAGTGAGTAGATAGATAATCACACTTTGAATCGGTCATTCAAGAGAGAACACTGGAATTCAACAAAGAAATGATAGGAAACACCTAAAGCAATGAAGGAGAGGGAAGTGAGGGCAAACTACTTGGCCAGGATTGGCGGGGAGCCTGGAAAAACTCCCCAATGCAGGAAAAGGGTAAGTGAGAGATCCCCAGCAGTCCACATTCACACATAGACTCTTGAGATCCTAGCTACAATAGAGCCCCTCCACCTTCGTGGACCCTGACACTAACATAGAGAGTTGCCTAGAGACCATACAATGGCACTACTTCAGAGAGGAAGCTCATGATGTATCCCACACACCTCCCGAGTTCTCAGAAGCCACAGTAAGGTGTCATTTTGAGAACCCATCCACAAACAGACTGTACCCTGCCCTGGGGCTCAACAGCAAGTACATGTCCACATTCCTGGAACACCACTGACATCCCCACCCTGTGGCTACCATTGTGGCTGCCTATGGCCACCAGGGCTAAAGAGCAGGACACTG